GCCTGTGAGTGTCGCCAACTGACAACTGACATAAGCAAAAAATATGTACGTACGCCAGCAATGAAGCTGCCGTGGAGGACCGCACATTCTCACGAAGACTCAGTGTAAGACACGCTGCTTGAGGTTTCTATGTGAAACATGGAGAGCTCGATTGGTCATATAGACGTTAGGGCGACCAAAGACAGTAATGCTGCAGGTCGGTCTTCGGATGGAGATCAGGAGAGCCATTGGCTTGTAGTAATAGGTGGGGATGATTGGAGGGAGTAGGTAGACAGGAGCAGGATGGGTTGACTGGGGTGCCTCACTTCCAGGGAACAGACAGAGAGCAGTCTGGAGGTCAATGAGGAGTCTGAAGTCTGAGGAGGTGGGATCAGATGGAAAAGTCTCTTGCGGACATAGGAAAAGCTGAGTTGTCGACCAGGTCAATGAAACCAAGAATAACAAATATGAAACAGTGATTTGATCATTTTCCAGACTCTCAGCAGAGTCTAACATCAGTGAGACATATCTGTTGGAAGTAAGGTGTCCTCTGGTCCAGATTTAGGCTGAAGAGCTGTCAGATAGAATCTGGGCTTTCTGGAAGAATGATGATGTGGTTTTCTGTTTTCCTCTTGTCTTGGAGGGTTTAAGAATTGGGTCACTTAATATAAATGGCACCAGAGACCGGGGGAAAGGAGAGTGGATTATCTAAAAGAGAAAAATGTGATTTATTTGCCAGAAACACACAGTGATGTTGTGAATAAGGTGGTCTGGGGGAGGGTCTGGTGGATAGTCTGGTAGGGTGCAGGGGTTGCAGAGTGGTTTTTAGTTTACTGATACACAACAAACTGTAGAAATGTTCTTGTCATTATATTTTATATTTTATTTTCATGTTTAACTCTTGCGCTGTTGTTTCATGATATAAAATATATATATATATATAAACTGTTTTTCACAGTCAGGTTAAAGATGTTTAGTATCAATCATTGAGGATCAATGTCTAGTTTGAAAATCCATCAGAGATGCAAACCCTTCTGATATTTGTGTTTCTGTGAACACAGCTTCATCCTCCATGAACCAACCAACAACCACACAACAATCAACCAACCACCAACCAACAATCA